GGCTGGCCAAAGGCTGGGGCTGGATTGCAGTGTGAAGACTCTTTTGGGAGTGTGTCTCTTGCTAATAGAAGAAATAAATTTTAAAAAGTTTAAGAACATGGGAACCAGCAGTTAGCGCAATGGCTATGTCGCTGGACTCCCACGTAGTCGACCGCGGTTCGCGTCCCGGACCCGGTGGCTTAAAACTCACGCCGGGCGCATGTGCGTACGTGCCCAAGATCCCGAGAGGAGAATGGAGGAGAAGGGATTGCGGCGTGACCATCCCCCCTAGGGGGTGATTTCTCGCTTTCTGTCTCTATGTCTCTCTCTGTCTGTCTGGCGAGCGCACGCGCCCTATAGCGAAAAAACCTCTCCAAAAAAAAAAAAAAAGTTTAAGAACATGGAGAAAAAATAATCAAGATAAAAAGCTAGTAGATTAATTATATGAAGCTTCAGGAACTTTTTAAACTAATTTCAGAGATTCAGCCACATCTCCTACCCATGTTATGTGCAGGGCTAGCAGTAGACTTCTCTGTAGCGTGTCTGCTTCCGCCATCTGCATGATATATATGTAGCAGAAAGCAGTTGTGTTTGTTCTTGAACTTGTTTAGGCCAGTGCACTCATAATTATGTACATTAATTAAAATAATATTTCATAAGTGCACTTATGAAATATAAATGAGGGAAGAGAGTTGGTTTTCTGTGACCTAAGTTAAATGCTTTAGAAAGATCACGCTGTGATCCCTCCTCCTCCATTCTCCTTTCAAGACTTGGCACACATACATATGTGCCCACTGTGTTTTAAGCTGCAGGTCTGGGATTTGAACTGTGGTCGACTATGTGGGAGTCCAGCGACATAACCATTATGCAGTCTCCTGGTCCCAGCTTACTGATGTCTCTGACATTGGAGCAGAGCAGCCTCCTTTTGTGTTTCTATACACCTGACCACATAGTGCTATTGAGATAGGGTGCAGTGAACCGGGGCGAGTGCAGGCAACTAGCTCTCCACCTGCACGGGGCTCCTCATGTAAACACAGGGTGGGAGGCTGCGCTCTGAGGCCTGTGACTGCACTGTGGCAGTGACAGAGAAACAAGACACACAGTCTGGACAAGTCTTCTGTGACATAGCCTGAGTCACTGCCAAGTGGTCCTCAAAATAGTCCATGACCAGAATGCTGCTGTTTTGCCTTTTAATTTATTTTAGTTAAAAAGAGCAAAAAAGAATGAAATTAAAACTTTATATTTTTAGGGCCAGGAGGTAGTATAGTGGTTAAGGTGCTGGACTCCAACGTGATCATCCACGATTCAAGTCCCTGACCCGGCAGCTTGAAACTCAGGCAAAGCAAGTGTGCATGTGTGTGCACACTTGCCCAAAATCCTGAAAGGAAAATGCAGGAGAAGGGATTGTGGTGTGGCCATCCCCCTGGGGAATAATTTCTCCTTTTCTGTCTCTCTCTGTCTCTGCAGTGGGTATGAGTGGACTGTAACAGAAATCTCTCAAAAAAAAAAAAACAAAACAGTGCCCACATCAAAGGGTAGTGGTGAGGATTAATAGAGTCAAGCTCTTTATTTAAAAAAATATATATTTATTTTATTTGTTATTATTATTTATTTTGATGAGAGAAGGAGAGAGAGAGAGAGCAAGCCACCAGGTCCAAAACTTGAACCATGGTCAGCTACGTGGGAGTCCAGCACCTCAACCACCATGCCACCTACTGACCCAGAGATAAGCTCTTTAAATGCTTACAATATATATGGGACATAGTAGGCACTCATTAGATGTTAGATATTTTCTTTTTTTAAAAAAAAGAATTCTTTTATTTAACTTTATTTATTTAAATTTGACCAGAGAGGGACAGAGTGAGAAAAAGAGAGAGAGAAAGTGAGAAAGCAAGCTGCCAGGTCTGGGACTCGAACCACAGTTGGCCATGTGGGAGTCCAGGACCCTTAGCTACCATACCACCTGCTGACCCCTAGATATTTTCTTGATATGCGCCATATCCTCTAGCAAAGATGCTCAACAATTTGTTTTTTTTTTTTTAACTGAAACAAGGTTGTCAGTTCTGTAAAATGTAGGTTATTGGGTCACTTTTCAGACGTGTACATTATTAGAGTCTCTGGAGAATCTGATTCATGGTCATATTGACTTGCAGCACGTTTGTCCTCAGTGAGAATTGCCTGTCACCTTTTGATTGTTTATAATAGATAAACACTGTTAGTGTCACTCCCTTTGCTCAGAAACTTTTATGATATCTTCCTTATTGGAGGGGTAGAAGGGGATACTACTATTATCTCTTATTTTTAATTTAAAGAATCTATATCGCTGCTGGTGGAAAGAAGAAAGAAAACACAGTTATTTCTTTAAGGACCATTGGTGAGAAGGGCCTTCAAAGGCTGCTTTCACTCTGATGGCCTACTTCTTCCACGGGAGATACTGAACAAGTGTCTGTATCTTGTAGTTGACCAGATGTACTGTAGATAAGCTCAGTGTAGCTTCGGTTCACCCACAGTGAAGGAGATGTAACCTTTGCTACGTGTACAGAGGTTTAAAGGTTGTGGCAAACACCGTTTCATAGCTTGATTATTAACCTGACAGAAACAGATGAGACCATCTGAAGACTTGGGCTCTGGCATGCTGAAAGGTATTAGTAAATCTGAGAAGCCCACCTGGTTCCCAAAGCTTTCTTTTTTCTTTTTAAAGAATTATTTATTGAATTTTGGGGACCAGCAGGTGGCGTGGTGGTCAAGGTGCTGGACACTCCCACAAGACTGACCAGGGTTCAAGTCCTGAATCTGGTGGCTTGCTTTCTCACTTCCTCTCTCTCTCACTCTCACCCTCTGTCTCTCTCTGGTCAAATTAAGAAATGAATGAATAAATAAAATAAGATAAATAATTATTTTTTAAAAATTAAAGAATTATTTATTTACTTTTATTTATTATTACTATTATTAGTCTGCTATAAAGCACATATTTTCACCAGAGAGAGAGAGAAAGTGAGAAAGCATGCCACCAGGTCCGGGACTCAAACTGCAGTCCACTGCTGGACTCATACTGGAGTTCAGCACCTTAACCACCACACCACCCACTGGTACCATACAAAAACTTTCTTGACACTGTCAGTTCAGAGATGAGAGAGGGTTGAAGACACATCTGGATTTATACAGATATTCTTTTATGTAAAATAAAAATATATTGTGTCAGATGTGGTAAATGAAGAGCTTAGGAAACTGGCATGTTTCAGGAGGGTAAAATATGAAGAAAATTACCAACTACCTTTCAAGTAGTTAGAAAAGAGTCAAAGAAAAGGTTGCATTCTAAGAAAAGGAAGTAATACCCAAGGTTACTTAGAATGAGAGTACGATCCCAGGCTTGGAACGTTCCCTAAGAGCAGCAGTGGGTGACTCAAGGAAGCAGGGTCACATCGGCCTTCCCGGTAAACGGTCGATGGATGTCAGGTGGACACTCAGTGGAACTATATGCCTGGTGCTAAAGTAGGACGACAAGCAAGACTCGGTCCAAGATCTCACCCATTACTACTGACTAGGGTAGACAAGATTATCTTCATGGAAGCACACCACACTAGGAGCCTTGCTAATGGTGCAAGCAGAGTACTCTCGGAAGGGCGGAGAATGGAATGGTTAACTACGCACCCGTGGGAAGAAGGAGTTCATAGATCAGGTTAAACGAAGTAGGAAACATGGGAGGACAGGCATCAGGAAGAAAGAGGATCGCCTTCTAGCACAGGAATGGTGTGAACCAAAGCACAGAGAGTAGGCCTGCTTGTGATGCTGGGGGTTGGGACAGGAGCGGGACATGAGACACGCTGAAATTAGAGTGGATCCAGCACTTTGCTGCTTTTCATTATAAAAAGGATTCTTTCATTGTTTAGATTGGTTTGGAGAGAAAACCTCTGCCAACTTTTGAGAGCTCCCTGATGGCTTTTTTAGTGATTTTGGTGAGGACCATCCCCTGAGCAAGTGGGCAGAGAGATGAGGATAGCAGAAGGGATGACACCCAGAGAATTTGGCGACCGTTTGGATGAGGGTCACGAGGAAGAGACAGAAGTGAGCTGATCTTTTCCTGCTCAGCTGGCTGCGTAGATGTTATTATCATAAACTTGTTTAGGGATTGGAAAGGAAACGGGGGCTTGGCGCAGAGAAGGGAGAAAGATAATGTGTTGATTAGTTTCTGACATTTTGAATACGAAGAGCCTGGAGAACATACTAATACCCAGTATATTTGGATATGGGTGGAAATTTAAGAAGACGCACACACATGCACACACGCGCACACAGGTGTCACCAGCATGTAGACCTGTGGAAATAGATGCAGTCTTCAGAGAGAATGTTTAGAGAGCAAGAGGGAGGCCTGGGACTGTATCTTAAGAGAAGAACCAGCAAGTTCAGTATAGGAAGAAAATGTTCTTGTTTTTATGTATATATTCTAAAACATATAAACTGTTGTCTTATTTTGTATTGTTTGTTCTGTTTCTTTAGGAATGAAGATAACAGAAATGGCTATATTAATGATGTGTAATCTTCACACATACTATTTTAAACAACTTTTTTGGTCCTTAAAATTTTGTCACTCTAAACTTAAGTCTCTATATGTCCTTTTGCCAGGTATTTGGATTTACTAGTGTGAATAAACTCTGATAAGTTCAGGAAAACTGGTTGGTTTTTATCATTACAGTGAACTTTAATCTTTTTTGCGGGGGAGAGGTTTTTGCTGTAGGACACATGCATTTGCCAGAAAGACAGAGAGAGACAGAAAGTGAGAAATCACCCCCAGGGGAGATGACTACACTGCAATCCCTTCTCCATTCTCCTTTCAGATCTTGGTCACACATGTACACACACCTAGCATGAGTTTAAGCCATTGGGTCTGGGACTCAAACCACAGTCGACTATATGGGAGTCCAGCGACATAGCCATTACACTCTCTGCTGGTCCCGAACTTTACTCCTTCAATAATCATGTTAGTATGTTATTAGTCACTTTAATTGCTCTTCCCTCTGTAGGAGCTGATGCAGCAGAATGGGATCGGTTATGTGCTGAATGCCAGCAATACCTGTCCAAAGCCTGACTTTATCCCAGAGTCTCATTTCCTGAGGGTGCCTGTGAATGATAGCTTCTGTGAGAAAATTTTTCCCTGGTTGGACAAATCAGTAGATTTCATTGGTAAGTAGCTCAAAGAATATTACAAGTCCTTTGGGTTATGGTCTCATGTATAGGTAGGCTGCATGTACCTCCCCGCTCCCTGTCTCCCTCACCCCCACCCCGTTTTTTTAAGGGAAAAGGGGCCTATTTCGGAGATTTCAAAAGTCTGAAAACGATAGGATGCTGCTTACTCATGTGGTCGTCAAGGTGACACCCCACGCTGTACCTTAGAGGCCGGCTTACAGCGTTCTAGCTGCCTTTTCTACTACCAAGGCTAAGACTTATAGGATCTGTGATTATGTATTCACGTTTTGAAAATCAGTTAAGTTTTGACGTACCGCATTATACCCATTTTCAAACCCTATGAAAGACATTTGGGACCTTTGGTGATATTCCCTATTTCCTTACTGCTGTGTTTTCCCCAGAGAAAAGTCAAATTTTACAAAAACTAATTCCATTATGTCTGAAGTCTTTATGTCACAGATTTCTACACCTTAGTCCAATAATTTCAGGTAGCACTGGACCTAACAGAATGTTCATACACACAGACACACACACACACACACACACACACACACACACCTGGTCAGTTCCCTGGCGGTGGCTATGACAGGAATCTGGTTTATACCATATTCTGTTCTGCTTCCTGGGCCTTTGCTGAAGTGTCTCTGATTCCTTGCTGCTATTGCGACATTTTGGTGCTGTGGAATCAGGTCTGCTGGTAGTAAACTGGGGATGGATATTCAAAATGCAGTTTTAGTGAAGAGTGGCTGAGCAGGAACCACTGCTCATTCTTAGTAACATTAAGAGAGCATGACTTCCCATGTGCTATGTACCTGGTTAAGGTAGCTCAATCCCACATGGCCAACTGTGTGGTTCAAGTCCCAGACCCAGTGGCTTGAGAAACACACCAGGAGTCTGTGGTTTCCCAAAATCCTGAGAGGAGAATGGGAGGTGAGGCCATCCCCTGGGGTGGTGTGCTTTCTCACTTTCTCTCTCAGCCTTGTGATTGCACTTGCCCTATGCAAACTTTAAAAACAAAACAGATGGTGTGTGTGTACTGTATACCTTGTAAAGTACCAGGCTCATAATTGGCTCTTAAAACTTTTTTAAATTATGAGATGTTTCATTTTTCATGTTTTCCATGGTCCAGTCCTCTGTAACTTCACTTACTTATCACCTTACTTTATCCTTTGTGTTGTCAGTGGGTCTTACCCTTTTCATTCTTGATCCTCTCACCTGTTAGCCTAGATTTCATCCACACACTCCTGAGGTGGCAGCCTGCTGTTTTTATTTCCAGTTTTTACCAACATTGCTTTGTTCCCTATCCAGCAACCTGCAGAGGCACCTTAGTTTCCTGCATTAAAAATGTAGCCCTTAGCCTGACATTGCCAGGACCCTCCCCACCTGCTCCCTGCCCTTGAAACCTGCTTTCTAGTTACTTCCCACACAGCTTGACGCCAGCCAAGGCAGCTGTTTCCTGGGCACTCTGCTCCATCCTACCTCAGGACTTCCTTGTACACTTTCTCTTCTCCCCTCTGCCAGATCTATGTGTAGTACTGCCTCTGCCTCAGACTCAGTTTACAACTCCCATCTGCCAAGACTGTGTGCTAATGAGCCCCACTACCATATAATAATGCATGCGTGTGCGTGTTGTTTTGGGTTGTTTTGTTTTTAAGACAGGGTTTCTATTCACAGTCCTCCCTACTCCTAAGTAGCCAGGACACAGGCATGTCCACCATTGTCAATAGTTTAAGGTGGACAGCTCGAATCTGGACCTCCATGTGGCCTCAGCCTACCAGGAATCCACATCTAGCACACTGCAGTGGCTGGGCCTAATTTGGTTTTTAAAATACATCATCCAAAGAGTTGTGATTATAAAAGCAGTGTAAGCACAAGACAGAAAATTTGAAAAAGAGAAAACTGAAATACAGAAACCTCAACATTGTAAAATATCTTTTTTTTTTTTCTGGAGAGGTTTTTGCTATAGGGCGCGTGCGCTCGCCAGAAAGAGAGAGAGAGACAGAAAGCGAGAAATCACCCCCCTGGGGGGATGACCATGCCGCAATTCCTTCTCCATTCTCCTCTCGGGATCTTGGGCACGCACGCACAGACGCTTGGCGTGAGTTTAAGCCGCTGGATCCGAGACTCGAACTGCGGTCGACTACATGGGAGTCCAGCAACATAGCTATATCGCTAACTGCTGGTCCCGTAACACATCTTTACTGTCATCATTTTATTTCCAGCTTTTTTCAAAATTTTTGATACTGCTTTTTAAAATGTCAGTATCAGGGTGCATGCTGTGTACCTAGTATTAGCCCCTTTTGGGGAGTATTAGAAGCAAGGCCCTTCTCAGTTTTTATAGTCTAGTTTTTGAGATAATTATTTAAAACAATGAGAGGCTCTTGCCAGCATTAAAAAACAGAAAGATTGAATGACATAAAAGCAGTGAAAATAGTTATGGATCCTATAGATAGTATGGAAGGAGGTTGGGAGAAGGGAAGAGTCTAGGGAAGGAAATCAAGGAGAAAATATAGAGAGATATAAGACATTTATAGGACACAGAAATGGTTTATTACCTATTAATAATAACTGGACTGGTCTGAGATATATTTCATGTTGGGTAAATTCTCTTTACAAGCCAAATGATGTATAGCAACTGAATATTTTTAAAAAATAAGAATAATGAAAGTAAAATTAAAATTTAAAAAATTAAAAAACAAAGAACTTTAACCCAGTCCAGTCCAATAAAGGTTTGAATCTGCTTATAATAAAAAATTGGGATTTAAAAATTCATATATTCCTGCCCATACACATTAAAATGGGATAAAAGGCGAGAACTAATTAATAGGGAACTAGGAAAAGTATAATACTTTGACAAAAGTGTGAATGGTCAGTCCTAATGACACTGAATGAAAATAGTAGCTCTGTGGTTCTTAGCAAGGCAGAGGGGGAGATACGGTATGTGGTGTGGGGTAGATGCTGACTAGCCGAGAGGGAAGAGGACTGCCGACAGGATGGATGCCACTTGAGATACATGGGCTGCCACGGCATTACTGTGTGTAGTAGTCATTCCAGTGTCTCTCTGCGTCCGTGTGTTATTGTTGGATTGCATTTGGTTTCCCCATCTGGAAGGGGAAGCGCTTACTGCCTGATCATTCATGTATTATTTAAAACCCCCATGATGTGTTACACACAACACTTGAATAGTAAATCATACCCCCAGGCCTCTGAGAGCTCTGTCACATAGGCAGCAAGACTGGCGTTGGCGCAGCTCTGTGTTACTCAGCTGCCACATCCGATTCCCTGCATCTTTGTTAGTTATGATGTTCAGTGTGAGGCTTGGCAAGTTTGTGGTGCTATCAACTAAACCCAGAGTAGGTAGGGAAGAGTTCAGCTCCATGGTCACAGCTTATAGCCAAGCACACGTGTACATGCTTAGGGTCGAGTCGTAGGACTGGGGAGACTGAGCTGCTGCCAGGCCAGCATGATCACTTCATGCGCCCTTGCTAAACTTTGAAGTCCCTCGGCAGCCCTAGCTGGTCCTGTTGGAATTTCCTGGTGGCGGCTCTGATGGTGCCTGGAGACCTGCTGTGTGTCGGGGCTGAGATGGTACAGTGGGACTGGTTTCTGGGCATCGAGAAGGGTAATGGTTCTCCTGGTCTGTGTTAGAACACCCTAGGAAACCTGATTCGTAATGTATACATGTTTTTTTTCCCTTAAATTCAGAAAATAAAGCTGAGCCATTTTGTAAATAGGGAGCTCAGGAAGACAAGTTCTATGATGTCTGCATTGTGAAAGTGACTCAGTCTTCCAACTTTTGGTCATTATATGATATCTTGTAACTCAGTCTCTTCCTTTCCCACTTCTCTCCTTTTTAAATACTAATACATGTCTCATGTATTTGAACTGAAAATAAATTAAAAATACCAATTTTTTATAATAGGGAATAAAATTAAAGTGTCAGATAGCATGAGTAAACAAAATATTAGCTATATCTTATAGGTGTGGGGTGTTGATGACACTTTCTTCTTTATATACTTTTCTGTGGTTCTGAAATTTTCTACTCTAAAGTGAGTAGAATCATGTTATTACAATGCAGGAAAATTTATGACAATAATAATGTAAAAAACATTGGACCAGCAGGTGGTGTGGTGGTTAAGGCACTGGACACTCTCACATGGCGGACCATGGTTCCAGTCCCAGACCTGGTCGCTTACTTTCTCACTTTCCCTATCTCTCTCTGGTCAAATTAAAATAAATGAATGAATAAATAAAATTAAATAAGTAATGCTTAAAAAAATGTAAAAAACATACATGGAAAGCTCTGCAGTAAGAGTCAGGCAGAGGCTAGCAGGTAGCATGGTACTTGAGGTGCTGGACTCCCACATGGCCAACCACGGTTCAGGTCCCAGACCTGGCAGCTTGCTTTCTCTCTCTTTCTGGTCAAATTGAATAATAATAATAATAATAAATTCATTAATAAATAATTCTTTAAAAAAAAAAAAAGGTCACCTGACTTATAATAGTAGCTCCAATTCCTTTGGACCTTGATTACCCTGCATGTCAGTGGGGAGGAAATTGTCTTCTCCTTCCTCAAAAGACTATAGAGGGGCTGGCAGGTGGTGTGGTGGTTACGGGTGCTGGATTCCCGCATGGCTGACTGTGGTTTGTGTCCCGGGCCTGGAGGCTTGCTTTCTCACTTTCTCACTCTCTCACTCTGTCCCTCTCTGGTCAAATAGAAATAAACAAATGAATACGTAAATAAAGTTAAATAAAAAAATAATTCTTATAAAAACAAAAACTATTGAAAAGAGACCCTGGGTGGCACCTCAGCCACGCTTGTCATTCACCCTGTTGTGGCAGCTGTCAAGAACAATTATTTGAACACCAGCATCTTGAACAGATGGCTTGGAGACAACTTAGAAATGGAAAAGCCTGATCTTATAGACCCCCAAAACACTCTGACAAGAAGCCATTTTAAATCTGAGGTGTGTCCTGGCACATTCAGGGACCAGGGT